GGATCTGATTTGATCTGATCTGATCTAATTGGATCTGATCTGATCTGATTTAATTTAAAATTCAAATCAATAATTTGATTTGACTTTATAATAACATTTGAAAATTGTAATGATATTTCATATTATAATATAATCAAAATTTTTTATTTTATGATTATTTTTTAATAAAATTAAATTAGTTAATTCATTTCTTAGAATAATCATTCATATTATAATGTAATAATATTTTTTATTTTATGATTATTTTTTTGTGAAATTAGAATATTAATGTAATATATTCTAGAAAAAACTGGTTGGGAAAACTTAAAACCGCAAATCAAACCGAAACCAATCGAAATGAGCTAGAAAAAAACCAAACCAAATGTAAAAAATCAAACCGAACCGTTATTGTTTGGTTTCCTTTTTAGTTTTCACTTTGGAAAACCAAATCGAACTGAATAAACCAAACTTTTTTGAGTATTTTGCTTTATCTATATGAGTATATATGATATGTTAAAAACAATAGAAATATCTTTATATCTTTTTCTTTATCTTTATATATTAAATTTTAGAGTTAAATTGTAACACCCTAATCCGTCCAAGTCTGCAGCCCTTTCGGACTAAAGTATAAACTTGTTATTCGTAAACATTCAAAATATTTCAAATATTTTAAAACTTTATTTCATAAATAAATTATTCAGAATAATAACGGAGTATTTTAAAGTTGCGGAAGCTTAATAAATCACAATTACAAACATAATAAATTTATGTCTAATAAAATAGTAATTCAAATTCACACATCCATCCTGACCATCTCGTCCCATCTGCCACCAGGAATTCATCGTTTCATTATTTTTGTTACCTGCGTGTAGCAAACAAAACATACTACACGCTCAGCGGTAAAACTGAGTAAAGATATCTAATGCGTCGAACATCTATATAAATTGAATCTCAATTCATAATCAAATCATTTGATATCATGCACATAATATTCAATTCAAACATTTATCATTAATGATATTCACAATATTTTAATTCGAGTCATTTCATGATTTATACAATATTCAATATTTAGTATTTCAACAGCGCTCTTACATTATTCTTTTTTTTTTGCACAAAAGCACAACTTTTATTCCACATCCAGCAAAGTACAAGAGGTTTATACACCAATACTTAACTCATCCTCTTATAATTAAAATAGCTACTAAGGTAGAAACAAGCAAATTCAATTGTCTCTTCTACGGTGATTTTCTTCTGGTGGCAAATCATGTTCCTCATCCTCCAAATGTTGTACACACTACCTGCCCAAACTGCTCTAAATTGTTGCCTGCTCCTCTTCAACTTCATCTGTTGAACTCTCTCCTCTAGTGTATGTAAGCTGGTCACCCCGCCTGGAAATTGAACTTAGACAAGCATGAGCTGATAATCTCTTTAGCCACACTGCACTCCCAAAATAAGTGTATGCCTGTTTCCTTCTCTTGTCTACACAAAGTACAATTCTGGTCAATATCAAGATATTTGCCTATTCTCGCTTTCGTTTGCAGCCTTCCCTTCATTAGCAACCAAGTCACCATCTGCATTTTAGAGGGTGTCAAAGCATTCCACACCGTATCTTTCCATCTTGGTACCTCCCTTGTGCCTTGTAGCCAGTCATACCCCTCTTTGATCTTATACTCATGAGCCATGGGCATATGTCTGAATTTTCCTCTCACTTTGATCATCTCTATCCAATAGTGACACGCATCCCTCTTTGGAGTGTAATCCCAGAAGTCGGCTCCCTTCAAGTATTTGCTATGAATCCATTTCACCCATAGGACATCCTTCTTTCCTGCCACATCCCAATTCAGTTTCATTATAGCAACATTATTCCAGTTTAAAGCATTCCTGATACCCAGCCCTCCAAACTTCTTCTTCTGAAAAACCTCTTCCCAGTTAACCAAAGGCACTTTGGTATATTCAGATGAACTTCCCCACAGGAAATTTCTACTTATGGCCATAATCTCCTTCATAACCCTTTTAGGTAGTATAAATATCCTTGACCAGAAAGATATGATCCCCATCAATACAGAATTAATAATCCTTATCCTTGCACTGTAAGAGAAATGTCTTGTTCCCCATGCTGTAATTTTACAAGTCAGTTTATTTATCAAAGCATCACACTCACTCCTCTTCATTCTGGCTGTTATAATAGGGCTACCCAGATAAGTGAAGGGCAGCTCTCCAAGCTTCATGCCAGTCAATTCCAGTAGCTTCCCCCTTAGGGTCTAGTTCACTCCTCCAAGTACAACTTCAGATTTAGTTTTATTGATGCCAAGCCTAGTTTGTGTGTGAAACTTCTCTAACACTTTCATAATACATTCAATGGAGTCATTATCAGCTTTGCAAACTACTATTAGGTCATCAGCAAAGCACAGATTTATAATTTTAAACCCACCACATTTTGGATGATATTTAAACCTATCCCTCTAGGCTGCCACCTGGAAGCTCCTTGTCAAGTATTCCATTACCAGAACAAAAAGAAGAGGGGAAATAAAGCCCCCTTGTCTTAGGCTTTTTGCCCCTTTAATATACCCATACTGACCCCCATTAACATTGATTGTATATGTTGGAGTAGTAACACAGAACATCGCCCATTTTATAAACATATCAGGAAATTTAAGGCAACGCATCATACCTTTGACTACCTCCCAACTTACTGTGTCATAGGCCTTCTGTATATCCAGTTTCATCATACATCTTGGAGACACATTCTTTCTATTGCCACATAAGCACATTATGTATCAATTCCCTCCCTTGGATGAATGCTCCCTGGTTGAGATCAACTATGTGAGGTAGCACTTCCTTCAATTTCATACAAATCATTTTAGATATGATTTTGTAGACTGTGTTACAGCAGGCTATTGGTCTGTAGTCCTTTGGGCTTTTGGGATCTGAGATTTTTGGAATCACTGTCAATGATGTAGCATTCACTTGGAATAGTGTTTTACCATCTCTAAAGAAATCCAGTATTGCTTTAGTAGTTAATGCCCCCACCTCTTTCCATCTCCCTTGAAAGAACCCACTCCCATACCCATCCGGGACTGGGCTTTTGTCCTTAGGTATAGAGAATACAGCTTCTTTGTGTTGGAATGCATGAGTTCAACCCTTTCTGTGTTGTTAAGTGTTGACTCACAGGTTTTGATAATTGACAAACACAATTTATTCAAGTCAAGATCAAAGTGCTACAACGACAAACACGAAGACTTGAAGTGCCATTCCTTGAAGTATTCAAGAAGGTGCACAGGATTTTATTGAAGTCCGAGACGCGTTCGGAGCGCCTAACGGAGGACTCGGAGGAGTAGAAGATTTCCGAAGACTTTTTATTTATTTGAGTCTTAGGAATTTTTGTAAGGATGACAAAAATATCTTCTCTCCAAAATTATTTTTATGAGTGTTAAAATAAAAATTATATTTATTTTTTGGAGTCAGTTGAAAAATCTTTTAACTGTTCAAAATAGTTTTTATTGAGTCAGTTACAAAAGGTGTGCCAAACATTTATCCAATATTTATTTTGATATTATAAAATATTTTTGGTAAGCAAAAATATTTTATTCAAATATTTTTTGTGTACATCATTTGACACACAAAATAATTTTTGGACTCACTTTTACTCCCTTATTCAAATTCATTGAATAAGAGGAGGAGCGTTCTCTGATTCCAGTTGTCTCAAACAACGAGTGTTACGCCAATTCTCCTCTCTATCGCAACTGGCTTGGGCCCCCTTGTGTTTGCGCTTCATTTCAAAACTAATCGATTATTATTCTCACATTAATCGATTTGCCTAGTTTTGTTTTGATTAATCGATTAAACTCTTTTGATTAATCGATTAATTGAGTTTTACTTTGTGTTGAGCTACTTTGACTTAATCGATTATTTTCCTCTTGTTAATCGATTAACTTACTCAGAACACTCTAATCGATTAATTGCTTTGGCCTTAATCGATTATCATTTTTGCGCAGGCTGCATTAATCGTTGCTGATGATGCATTAATCGATTATTATGCTGCATCTTTTCTGCACAGCTTCTTTTCTTGGACCAACGGATATATTTCTTCACCTCCTATTTAAGCA